AAAAAAAAAAATAATAATAATAATAATAACGGAGCTCGTTTCATTCGTTTCTTCAAACTGCTCTTAGCCAGCATCGGCTGGAGTATCGGGAAACAAAACACGGCGAACAGAAATAGTGCATTTGCCTGGTGTGTCCTCGTTGAAAGCAGCGTGTTTCGCCGCTTCGGTTGTTTGATGCCGCGTGCAGCCGGCATTCAAAAGCGTCGCGAAAAAAGGCGGCTGGAAAGTTGAAGCGGCTGAAAAATTCATACGATTCACCGCGATAGAAGAGCTGGAGATGAAGAAAGAGGAAGCCAGCGGCTTCCTTTTCCGCTCGTTTCATCCGCAAAATTGAACCGCGCATCCGCGGCTTCGCGTCGCTTTTCCTTTTTTCTTCTTTTTTTTTTTTTTTTTCGAGAAACTTGACCGTTTCTCGACTCGACATGCATTGACGACGAAAAGTGGCAGCCAGCAGGGCGAAAAGGGAGTGGAAACGTCTGCGCTGGTCGCAGAGGAGCCTAAAGTTGCGACTATAGGCGCGCGCGGAACCGTGTGCGCGCACGCTCGCCAGTAAAACTTCGCAAGAGGGTTGCTCGTTTCGTCCGAGGCTAATAATTAAAATGCATTCAGCCGAGTTATAAAGCTTTAACGACGTGCGTGTACGACCGATTTTTTGCTACTGCATCCCCGGGACTTTACGATACAATTTATTGCTTATTTAATTCTCTCTGTGCGCTCCATCGGTTTAGGCTTGCCTGGCTGGCGAATCGCTACCGGATATCAACGCCTATCAACGTTGGCCGCTCTGTCGAGCGTTCGTTTCTAACATAGGCATACGATGCTCTTTATACCATGATTAAAGCTTTGCTTTGCTTCTGTCTACATTTGGAAAGATTTCGTCTATGTAGTAACGAATAACGTGGCCACTGGAGTGATTAATTCGTAATCTTCGACACGCTTCAGTCTGAATCGATAGCATCGATATCGAGAGAGAACGCTACAAGACAGAGACAGCAAAATTTCTACACGCCTGGATATCGAACAATCGATACACGTCGCAAGAAAAACCCTTCCGAGGCGGAGAACAATGTGACAGAAAACCGGGAGGGAGGGAGAGGCATTAGGAAACCGGATAAACCGCATAACAGAAGCGTCTCGTATTTCCCGTCTAATTGGAAAACGTGGCGGGAGAAAAAAGGGTTGCGTGGCGTAACAGTGCTTATCTTCCTGCGATATCTCCCGTTTCCCAGTGGCAGAAAACGCTCGTACGAAATACAATTATAACTCCACCGACGAAAAAAGTAAAAGAAGCTTGGTCCTCGGAGCGTGGATATTTGAAATTCCTTAACGAGGCGGATCAACATACGCGTCCGTCAATAGCCGGAGACTATTTCTAGTTAAACAGCAAAGATAATTCGTTGTACGTAGAAATAAAAGATTAGCGAAATTCTTGACCAATAACACTGACAATGAGAAGAGTTCTCCGTCGATAATCTCGTTCGGCGAGTTGCCTTTTCTTTTTCTCTTTTTTTCCTTTTTCCCCTCCACTCGGCACCACTCTGTCGTGACTCTCTCTCTATCTTTCTCTCGTCGATTTCTTACGGATGCGTCTCGACGATACGATAAATCATCTCGTTTCTCGAACGCTCCGTTCGGGACGAGCATTTTTATTTGACAGCGGCAGCCATGTACGAGACTTTCCAAAGGCTACGTGCACTGTGAATTAAGTATCCGCCAGTGTCCGCCCTCGGGTGAGCTTGTCAGGTGTTCCCGATAGAAACGACAGCTTATTAAAAAGCTGTTCCTCGCGGGAGGGACAGAGAGCCGAAGAGAAAAGAGAAACGAACGCTTCGTGGGAAGCGTTTTCCACTCGTGGAAATTTTGTGAGAATCGGCGAGAGCTTCCTCGTTCGATCGGTCGCTGGATCCACTTCCTCCCTCCCTCCCTTATCTTTCCATGTTCTCTAGCTATTTACTTTTATGCGCGCAGTGAGGTTGCTTTACGGATTTACTGTTTGTCGATGATTGTGTGGTTTATAGAACATTCGTGATTGTTCTTTTGATTAGTTAAAAAAGAGTAATATCAGTAATAATGGATTGTGCATTAAGTGAATTCTGAGAAACGGATAAATTTTCATATTTTTGTGATTTCTTCGGCGCCGTACGCACCATACAATATTCTTAGAAATGATCATTTTTTTATGAACTGTCATAGTACTTTTAGCAAACTTTTAGTACATTTTTAAAGAAAAACACGACAAGAATTCAAGCACATAGGAAAGAGGAACGCGATCGAATGAATTCGAAGCGAATCAATCGTGAAGATCCAGTTGGCAGTGTCATCGAGAAATCGACTCTCTCGCTGGCTCTCTCGCGTAGAAAAAGAAGAAGAGAGAAATCAACGGTCGAATACAGGCGCGTTTCCCTAGCGAGTTCTCGCCCTTTAATTAAACGACCGGAGCGCGCGAGGGGAAGAAAGAGGGCGCTAGAAAGGCGGATAAAAGAAAAAAAGGAGAAAAAGAAAGGAAAGAAGAGAAAGAAGGTAAAAAGTAAGGGGCAGAGAG